CATCATAATAAAATTCATTTTGAAAAATATATTAAAAGATTATTATTTTTAGTTTGATATAAAAATAAAAAATATTTATTATTAAATTAAAAGTTTTATTATATATATTTTTATTTTTATATTTAATAAATTCCAACATTAATATAATTATCCAATTAATATAATTACTAATTAACAGTTGGTAATTTATTTATTCATTTATCATAAAAAAAGTAGAATTAATTCTACCATATGTATAGTTTTTATATAAAGAGAAAATCTTATAGTTTACTATATTTTATTAGTAAAATTTGATGATTGTTATTATATATTTTATAATATATATTAAAGAATAATATAAATATTAAAATTCAAAGTTTCAAATCTGAAAAAATGCACAATTTTAGACAAAAATTTTTGAAATTAATATTTTTCTCAAAATTGGAATAACTTATTAAATTATTAAGCAAAAATTTTTTGTTTATAACGATTATGATTCGTGAAGTACTTATTTAGTCTATTTTTTTAATTCAAAATCATAATGCAATTTCTTTAAAATTTTTTTGCTAAAAGAATATCTTTGAACTAGATTTTATAGATGTGAATATTTTAATGATATTTATTTTTAGATTCCGCAATAAGCGAGTATCACACCTGTTTTAGTCAAAATGACTTGAGCGACAAAGTGAGCTGCGCGAATTCCACAAAACGTTGAATGCTCCACTACAACGGCATCGTAGGGTGTGAACTTTCATTTACAGCAAAACAAAATGTGCTGTATATCTGCTACAACTGGACATTCTTCTTCTCACATGCATCAGCAGAGCTGCACAGTCACTATTGCCAGAACATTTTCTCATTCATCCCTAGGAAAAGAGCAAAAAATACTAACCGTCAATGCATCCAACTTTTTGATGACTCTTATCTTCTTATGTGGCAATTTTTGTGATATTTCGATTTCACGTGAGGGATCGTAAGGAATTTTTTTGGATCGAAAAGTGACCATCAATTTGTGCCCATTGTTGTTCCCGTTATGGTTCCTTTAAAATAGAATTTATTTATTACATGTATATATTTAGAAATTTAGTCAACTGACACGCGCAGATCCTGAGATGATATCATCCCAGCGTAGTGACAATAATATGATTTTTAAGATATAATGTTTATAGAGTACATTTTTGATGATTCAATTCTTTCTAAATGACTATGTCCAATAACAAAAAAATTGATTGGGCACTTCCAAGAACACCACTTTCTAGCGTCATCATTATAATACACATACGTAATATTGCTATTTTTACGTTAGTAATCAAGTTACGGAAACATATTGACTATATGCTATTTATTGGTTTATAAGCAAATGCAGAAATTATCATATTTTTTATGTTTTAGGCTGAAAATAGAGTGGCTTAGCTTTGATGATCTTAAAATTCGAGTGTTTCCTATTCTAAAAGAACAGTCATCAGACAAAAGTTTCCAGACAAGTTAATTAAACAATGTTTTTATGTTTTATTGTTGCTGATCGTGTGATTCAATAATCGGGGCACACACTTCTTTCTGCGGTTTCCATTTTGTATTCAAGAACATATTCTTTGGAATATTAAGAAGTTTGCTTATTCGGGGATATGATTTACCTGCTTTTCATAGTGCACGACAAAGTGAAGTTGCAAAATTTTGAACACGAATATGCATATATTTTTTATACGTGTCTCGATGATCCCCACAAAAAAGGAACGATTCGCCTGGTTATCAAACTCCGCGTGTTCTGTTTTGTGTATTATGTGTTAATAATCGACTAACGCTAATTATGAATGTGAAAATTTTGTTATTTGTTTAAGTCGATCACGCCACATTATATATTAACTGTACTGTATTTTTATCGTTATATGCTATGAAACTTGTTTCTGCGTTCTTTGTACGTACGTACTTTGTTTGGTATTTGCCAAATTCATAAACTATTAATTTACTCGAGTATGTGTATTTATTTGTTATTTTATTCCCGGTTTGAGTTTCCTACTTAAGTATTAAATAATGAAACCACTGTTAAATATATATTAAATATATTTATTTTCTGCTAATATTGGATTTTCTCTTTGTTTACATCAATGAGAAAATGCCAATGCATACATGATTCAAAGTACTAAAAAAGTAAAAGTAAAAAATACTATTATAAATTTTTCAAAATTGTATAAATAGGATGCCAGTGTGTTGTTAATAAAAATAAAATCAATTCTCAAATAGAAAGAGAATTTATAGAATTATAAAAGTTTTCTATGTTGCCTAAAAGACATAACTTGTTTTTTAAATTGAATCCACAGAAATGGATTCCAACACAATCATCGCCAAATTCTCAAACGGTACAACTGTTGAAGTACCAATTCCATCCCTCGCTACCGCCAGAAGTTTAATAAACAACTCGATAGAAAGTAGAACAAGTTTAACCAGTATGGTGAATTCTCTATACACAAGAAGCCCATACTATCTATTTTTTCTGTCACTACAAAATCAATTAGATTCAGAGCCAACATTATCGAGGAAAGATCTTCTATATGAACTTGTTTTGGTAGCTGCTTTCAATTGGAATCATGCACCTGAAGAGTATCGATGGCGTTTTGATCAATTATCCGAGTCAATTAATGGAAATGCATTTAGCTATTTAGCAAAATTGATCATAAAAATCATAAGGATCAGAAAATTAGCAAAGGAATTATATTCTGCTAAACCTGAAAAATACAAACTATTAATCGCATCGAAATTTACATTAAAAATATTTTCAAGAAAGACATTTAATCGCAGAACGGGATTTCAAAATTCGAAACTCCCTTTTAAACATTTATTTCAATCGAAAATATTTGAAGAAATCTTTCTTGATAAAATATTATACATTTTGCATATTCTCAATAATATTAAACACAGAATTCTGGTTCTTATTACACGTCTATTTGAAAAAATTTGATTTTTTAGTATATCTATTTAATACTTAATTCTACATTGTAATAACAATAATTCTCATCCTCATATTCATTAGTTAATGAACATTAATTCCTTATATATAACATTAATTTAATTAATAACATTTAGCACTTTATTACATCAATTTCAAAGTACATTTTTCGGTGGTCGGTTTAATGGTATAAAAATATACTTCATATCGGTATCGCCTAAATTTCTGATCCACATTTTATTCTGCTCAGTAATTCAGTCAATATTTATTTATCAATTGTATGCAATAAAATAGAAATTTTTATTAGAATTATGTTATTGTTTGAACTGTGTAAGATACACTATAAATGTTCATTGAATAATTATTCAGGAATCTAATAGTCTTAAGACTTAAATTACGTGATTTCCGTTTTTAGAATTTTTTTTCGAATATTCATAAATGGATCTTACACATTACGTATAATATACGTATATAAAATTCTACTGCTACTCATTGTTACATGCGTAGTCTATCATAAATTACCTAATAAGGTCAATTCAAAATTTAAATAATCATCTGACACTGAATGATAATAAATACCAAGGGAAATGATTAATAATATCGTTAATTAATGTTCTAGCTTGATCATTTTTATTTAACGCATGAGTCACTTACGTAGAGAATTCTATATTTATAAAAAAATATGTTCGATTTTTTATGTGTTTATAACTGATCCAACTGCAAAATTCTTTTGTCATTTTATAGAGTCATTCGTTTAAGATTCTTCAATAAAAGTTCAATGAATGAATTAATACGTATTTTGCAATTATATATAAATCAAAAGTAAAGCACTACTTCTTAAAATATCATTCAATAATAATAATAGTCATACGTGTACGTACTCCAATAAACTAAATGACTTCTTTCGCTTTCTCTTTTATATGTCATTCATGCTACAATAATGCCGCATTATCAAATATTACGTAAAAAGAACTATATCAACTACGCAGGTTTCGTATTTTACTGCGCATAAAGATAAAAATGTCCATTCTTATATCGATATATATACATAAATTTCGTCAGCTTCTTTATATCGATATATACATAACTTGCGTCAGCATTGAGGACGATGAAACACGCTAAACCTATCAATTCTGATTAGAAATTATAGAATTTATTGAGATAAAAGAAATGGCAAAACATAACTTTTGTTAATCTATAAAATTGAAAGCTGATACAGTCAAAACCTCAATATAACGAAAGAGAAAAACGAAGTTTCATAAGGCGTTTCAACATAACGAAAAAAACTATATTGAGGTTTGATTGGATAACGAACTGTCCATATGATAGATGGATCCGCTATAACAAACACAATTTTCATAACTGTTCGCTGGTTTCAACGCGTAAAAAATTTATTAACGCATATTCATTTTCGCAGGTAAACCCTGTAGAATCAAAACATTTCGAATTCAAATTAAAAAAAAAATGCATTGAACTTCATAGCAAAAAAATAAATTCTATTTATATTCCGTTTATTTTAATTTTTATACATATTTATATAGTTTACGAGACTAAGCTATTTATATTTCCTCAATCCCTCAAAGACTCAAATTAATAAATGAGAATTTTAAATAAATAAAACCAATTCAAATTAATTAAATGAGTGAGGGTGTATTTGGATATTATAAATATATGACAAACATAATGCAAGAAGAGTACATGAAACCCAAGGAACCAGTCTATTTGTGCTGTACAAATTTGATGAAAATGCAATATGTGTATGATGATTCTACCATTGAAATTGTATGTAAATGCAAAAATGAATGAAATGCAAAGTGTGTATATAATAATGAATGAAAATGCAAAAAAGGTGTCCGTGTGTGTGTGTGTGTGTGTGTATATATGAAATGCAAATGCAAATGCAAATGAAAATGTAAATGAAAATGAAAAGTGTCAACACGTTTTCGATATTGGAATAGTATGCAATGTGATATGAAGTTGTAATAGAGCAGCCGTCACGTCGAATTTAGATTAGCCGTCAATAAACAATCGCGTAAATAAAAGAGGAAACTTTAGCGACTGCGCGATGTGCAGTATTTTAAGAGAGTTTCAACATCTTTTTAAAAACCTTGAGTATGATGGGGTTTGCATCACCCTTCTTCTTGGTAACTTTTGTAATCTTTCGATCTTCGTCGTCTGACGACCCTGATGAAGAAGAATCGTCGATCATAGCTCTTGCAGCTTCTGTTTCTGCCTGCAAACGTTTTATTGCTTGTTCGATATCTTCTTCAATAATAAAGTCACCAAAAAAATCGGAGAAACTTTCTGGTGCATATATTTCGTCTTCCTCTTCATAGTCTGGTGTGAAAAAATCGGTACTTCTTTCTTGATTTGTTGGAAGTACTTTAGTGCTGCGTCCCAATGTTTTAAGCGTGTCATATACAAGAGTTTTGCTATTTACGTGTGACATTTTTTGTGATAAAGTAATAAGATTGAAAAGAAAAAAATTGCTGAGAATTATAATTATGTATAAAATATTGAGAATTGTCGAGAAATGTTGAGGAAGTTATTAAAACAAAGCGAAAATCGCAGGTCTATTTGTACTTGTGGGAAATTGTTGTACCCCTATTTTTTCAATAGTACAAATTCACCTGTATGGATACACATACATACAAAAACACCAAAACGATAAATGAGTGCATATCTTTGTGATTCTATATTCTCAACCAGGAAAACAGCCTATCCATTTTATTGAGTAATTGGTTTTTCCTTGATTCTTGGCAAATTTATTTGGCGAAACTTTGAATGAACTTCCATAATATGTGGATAAATTTTCTTGCAGCAACGATCTTTACTCTTTTAATCGTGGAAAAGTAACTTCGACAAACAAGTGTAACTTTAAAAAAGACGCCCAAACAATGAACTCTCAGACGAAAATATTTAATATGATAAACAAACGTAATTCATGTGTGCATAACAAAACCTTAATAAATAAATAGCTTTCTTGTTTTATTTTTAGAAGTCTTTATATTTAAGGTTCATCCATGGTTTAGAAAACAATACGTACATGTATTTAATAGTAAAACCAGGACATTTTCTATTTTCTAGTAAACTTAAATTTTTACCATAATTTATTCTTCAAAGTTAAAAACTTCAACTTTGGATTCCATGATAGTCAAAATCATTCTTTTGCATTTCGAATCGTTTTTCCAGCAGTAATAATCACTCTATTACAAAATAGATTTGGTTAAATCTTCCAGTTCACGTCCTAGACATTCTTACTGTTTTAGAAAGTGCTCACCGATATGGTTTATTGACGGGGGTATGAAAATTATTCATCCAGACGTTTGAGGGAAAAAAGAAGATTCGCAATGCACGCGGAAATTGAAATTCTTTTAACCATCCATTGTTGTGCCACATCCATTTAGAGATGCAGTAATAAGGAAAAAAGGACAACCGTTTCACCGCATATAATAATTTAATTGTTCAGAAAACACAAAGACCAGCATTAAACACGCATTTATTGGACAGATCATTTAATATTCAAAGTCATGTTTCTGGATAGTTTGATCCATTAACTAACAAAGATTCTAAATTTTTACACGAATACTTACGTAATGATTAATAGTTTACTTTCTAAACTAAAAGTTTCGATCAAAATAATGGTGATAGTTGGTTCAAAAATACGTATAACACAACACAATGCAGTGTAAACTCGAGTTTAACTATCAGATAAAAATTCTGTGAATTATGCAACCTAATCAAAATTATGTGCGTTTTCTCGAATAAAAATCGAAATCAAACTAGATATTTCACGTAAGATTTGAGAACCAATTATATACGTATGTTAATACTAGTTTGTGAAGTGATTTCGTAAGTATATGCGTATTATCTATGCGATTTCACCTAATTTCATGCATAATCTCACCAAAAATATGACAACGCATATATTTTTGAGAATAATTTTGCATATGGTGCATAACATCTAAAGTCATCAAACGTTTCTATTTTTAAATTTTATGTTTACTCCTTATAAAATGCAAATGTTTGATGACTTTAGATGTTATGCACCATAGTTCTCAAATTTGAATATTAGTTGTCTGAAATTGGTATTTTGATCTCGAAATCTGAACCCAAACTGAAAAATTATTTCGGACAAAAATGGTTTGGTTTCGGATTAGATATAACCTAACCAAGTGAGTTTATTCTCAATATATTTATTACTCTTTTATCTATTGTCTGTATCAAGAATTCTGGTTTATCGAACATCTGCCATAGCTATATTGAGTTTTATTAGCTCTCGTATCAATCCGGTTTAGCCCTTTGCAGCAAACTAATTCGAACCGAACCATTCGGAACACTACTTACACGTATTTGACTATTAATTGATTCAGAAAATTATCTCAAAATTCTTGGTCGAAAAATGTAGAAAATAAAAATTGGCATTTTGACTCAAAAAAACTTGAAATTTAAATTTATTCAATTACGTAGTTATAATTAATTATTAAGGGTATAAAATAACGACGACGTTACCAAATCACACCACTGGAACCAAACACCAGTGTTAAATTAACCAATCGGATCGCAGGATCAAAAAATTTAACCAATCAAATCGCAGGATCGACGTGTAACGAAAAAATTGAAAAATGGCCTGTATCTCAAAATTCTGCTTATTGTATACTTAACAAAAAATGTTCCTTGCGAAATTTTGGGTTAGACCGACTATATCTAAAATCTAATCCAGACTAATAAATTTTTATGATGTTTTACACCACTGGTGTGATTTATAATTTTTGTAAAATAATAAATATATCAAAGTAAAGAATTGACTTGAAAATACATATTTCAAAAATTAAGCTATAATTAATATTTATATTGATTTAAATATATAAATTAGACGCGCTAGCTGGATCAATTAAAGAATTATTGTGAATACGTAATATCAAACGTGTTATTGTAAGAGGTCCGATTAATCATTTAAACTAAAGGACGCGCCATCCGAATCAATTAGCGAATTACCGTAGTTATTATTTGTATGCGTGGTCACGGTAATATTAGGATTATTATTGCTAGGAGCCCGATTATTATTTTGCAAATTGAGCGCCGACTGCAAAGCATTTAAATCAGAGGACATGCCATCCGGCCCGGATCAATTGACTAATTACTGAGACCATCTAAATTAGAGGATGCGCTACCCGAATCAATTGATGAATTACCGTAATTATTGTTTGTATGCGTGTTATTGTAAGAGTTCCAATTGATAGTTGGCAAATTGAGAACCGACTGTAGATCATTTAAATTAAAGGACGCGCCACCCGAATCAATTAACGAATTGCCGTGAATGTTGTTTGTATACATACTCGCAGTAATATTAGGTAAATTAAGAGTTGCCTGTAGACCATCTAAATTAAAGGATGTGTTACTCGGATCAATTGATGAATTACTGTGAATATTGTTTGTATGCGTGTTATCGTAAGAGTTCCAATTGATATTTTGCAAATTGAGAACCGACTGTAGATCATTTAGGTTAAAGGACGCGCCACCCGAATCAATTAACGAATTGCCGTGAATGTTGTTTGTATACATACTCGCAGTAATATTAGGTAAATTAAGAGTTGCCTGTAGACCATCTAAATTAAAGGATGTGTTACTCGGATCAATTGATGAATTACTGTGAATATTGTTTGTATGCGTGTTATCGTAAGAGTTCCAATTGATATTTTGCAAATTGAGAACCGACTGTAGATCATTTAAATTAAAGGACGCGCCACTCGAATCAATTAACGAATTGCCGTGAATATTATTTGCATACGTAGTTGCAGTATTATTAGGCGTATCATCGTAAGAGGTCCAATTGACAGTTTGCAAATTGAGAGTTGCCTGTAGACCGTCTAAATTAGAAGATGCGCTACCCGAATCAGTTGATGAACTACTGTGATTATTGTTTGTATACGTAATATTAGCATCGTATGAGGTCCGATTGATATTTTGCAAATTGAGAGCACTTTCTAATACTTCAGTATGCAAACTTCGATCATCAAATATAAATATAAAGCCCATCTGTGGCTTCGAACGTTTTCTTTTTAGATTTTCATAAAGTTCTTTGAAAATGTTTTTGAAGGGTTTGGGGAGTTTTGACCAAGTTTTTGTTAATACTTGTGACATAGAGTTTGTATTCAAAATGCAATTTTGATTATTGCAGAACCAGTCACTACTGTTTTTCTTTTTAGACTTTTCACAAGTCATTCTATATAAAAGATATGAGTTGACTTGCTTTCGATTTATATTTTTGCATTGTGCAATTAATTCTTTTTCTTGCAACATCTCCAGTGGCAGCTCATGTTTGCAGACATCTATTTCTCCTTCGTGGTTTATTGTTGAAAGAATTATCATTGGCGCATTAACGATCGCATATACTTTATTATAGAAATTGGGACTTGCCATGGGAAAAAAAAATAAAAATAAAGAGATAAAATGATACAATCTACTGAAAGAACGAATCATAAATTTAAGTGTTAAATAGGTATGTTAATTATGATAATAAATGGACCGAAAAGTGCTTTCGTGACGAAGTGCAGATAATTTTCAAACTCTATCCAAACTATATCGGGAACGGATATACACTATATCGGGGATTTTATGTTCAAAATTTTTTCGTACACTATATCAGGGATTTTATGTTCAAAATGTGAAAAATACATTTCCTGTATTTTTCGTGCACTATATCGGGGATTTTATGTTCAAAATGTGAAAAATACATTTCCTGTATTTTTCGTGCACTTAGGGAGGTGAGTTTTAAGTCTCGCGCATTTTTAGCCAATGGAAATGAAGATGGTTTTTCATAATAACAAATTTAACTTTGTACTGTATATGTAAATTTATCTTAAAAAGAATTTACATTTTACACAATAGCTCATGGATTAATGCTCGAAACTTTATGAAAATTTGCAAATATGTAGAATGGAACCTGATGAACATTTTTATTTATTAACATTTATTTTGTTAAAATTTGGCATAGTGGCTAATCTCTCATTCAAAGTTCACGAATGAAAGTTTTGGAAAATGATATTTCAAAGCTTGTAAAATAATCATTTGCGTTTGAAGTGTTCCAGAATTTCACTATATTGTATAATTTAATATGGTGAACATGTTTGATTATTACATGAAAGATCATCGTATTAGTAAAAAAATCGGCTTTCTATTTATTCATTGTTTTAATTTTTAACGATTGTCCTAATTTTAGTTGACATTATACTACTTTTTTTATTTAGTTTATTTATACATATTAATATGGAAGATGATGAAAGATAACAGTGCATGGACATTGCTATTTCACAGATTTGTTGAAACAATTTTTTTATATACATTCTGATAAACAAAGTCTTCGCTTGGAATTCCTTATCAGAACTATTGAAACTGGTTCCGCCTCAGCATTACACATATTTAATCAACTATTTTAATGAGCTGCCACCATACTGAACACCGGAAAAATTTGAGATTTCAAACTTCGAGTTGGACGCGTTTGTCAAAGGTTTTTACGTTAGCAATTAAACCAATTAAGCAATTCCGTTTCACGTTAATTTCCCTTCATTGAGTTTGGTTTTAATCACATTTCGCCAAGTAATTAAAATACTAAGAGTTCAAGCTGGTGTTATTTTTTCTTTTATGTTTCATTTTTTTTATTTCTCTTCTGAATTCTTGCAACTCTTATTTCTTCTCTCTTGTTCTTGTTTATAGATATTAATAATGTGAATAGCAACTGGTCAAACCAATAATTTCAGCTATTATCATATGTGACGAATAATTATTTGACCGTGTACATAGCACAGTTAATGATAATTATTGATGTTTAATGATATTGATATTTAAAGAAAAATAATTTATAATATATTCGTCTTCGTACTACTTAAAATGATCTAGACTATCATAAAAATTTGAATTCTTAAATATCAAATAAAGCTCAAAAACGAACCACTTAAAATGATTATTTTAAATGAATTTCTCATTTCTCCCATTTTCTTTTTTTTTTGACCAAAAATAATCTGAATTTTTTTCCTTTTTTAAATTCAAATTAAAGTCCAGTCTGAGTTCAATTAGAATTTTGAACCAAATTTGAATTCAAATAAAAGTCTAATTTAATTTAGTTTATAAGAATACTAGATTTAATTGTATCAATTTGTAGTTCTTAAAATTTCTTTAAATATTTGTTTGAATTCAAATCAGAACTTTTGATTAAATTTAAATTAAGTTTGAAATTCAAATCAAACTTTAAATTGAATTCAAATTTTTTGAACTAAACCAAATTTTTTTTAGAACTTTAAAAAATACAAATCTTTATTCAATAATTTTAATAATATTTTTATTATATGATACCAAAAATCTATAATTACCAATCACGTGATAAAAAATAAGAATCTTTGAAATATTATTCTAGTTTATACAAAAATAATTTCAAAAAAATAAATTGATAAATTTGTAATTCGAAATATACTTTATGAAGTTATCAATTTATTTTTTGAAATTATTTTTGTATAAAGTAAAGTAATATTTCAAAGATTCTTATTTTTATTACATAATTGATAATTAAATACAATTTTTTTATTATATTTTAATTAGTAATTAAATAGTTATATTAACTAAATAATTAAATTAATATTAAAATTAAAATTATCAAATATGAAAATATATTAAAATCTAATTTATTTAATAATTAATTTGAAATATAAATTATAAATTTTTAATTAAATTTGCAAAACAAATTTAAAGTATAAATAAAAATATAAAAAATAATTAAAAACAAATACATATTAACAATAAAATATTTTACAATACTAATTTACAATTTTAAAAAAATTTATTTTTATAAATATTAATTCAAATAAAATAATTAATATATTAATTAAAGCTTAAAATCTGCAAAAGTTCTAAAATAAATTATTTAGTCCATTTTGTATAATATATAAAATTTAAAGTCATTAAATATTTATATTTTATAAAATATATAAATCTTTTTACTAAGAAGTAAATACAAAATTTAATCCATGAATATAATAGAATAAATCTTTTCTGAGTATATTTATGAATTAAATTTTGTATTTATTTCTTAATAAAAAAGTTTATATATTTTACAAAACACAAATATTTGATAACTTTAAATTTTATACATTATAAAATAAATAATTTAAATCAAAAAAATTTAATTAGTAATTTTTTTATAAACAAAATAAAAATTTAATTTGATTCATCAATAAAAAATATTTCTCTTTATAAATTTATTTTATTTATAAATTTTTAGTTTAATTAAATAATTAAAATTTTTGTTTTTAAAATTAAATATCTTAATAACTAATTATTTAATTAAGCTAAAGATTTGTAAATAGACTAAATTTATAGAGAGAAATATTTATTATTAATAAATAAATTAAACTAAATTTTTATCTTGGTTATTATTAAAAATTATTAATTGAATTTTTTTGATCTAAATTATTTAATTTTACAAAATAAACTAAAATAATTTATTTTTTTAATTATTTTAGAATTTTTTATAGATTTTAAGCTTTAAATTAATATTAATTATTTTATTGAAATTAATATTTATAAGGTAAAATTTACAAATTAATATTGCAAAATATTTAATTATTACTATAATTTATTTTGATATTATTATAATTAAAATATTTTATAATAAAATAATAATATTAAATAATTAATTTTTTTATTTTATTTAATAATTTTAATAATTTAATTTAATTAATATTTATTTTTATTTTTATTTTTATTGAATAAACTTGAATTATATAATTTATATATAATAATTTTCAAAAATATAATAAAAATTAAAATTATTGTTTTATATAAAAGTTTTTAATTTTATTAATAAATACATATATTACTGGAAATTGAAAAAAATATAGCAAAACATAGTAAAATTGATATTATTGCTTTATATTAAAATTTAATATTTTATTAATAAATATTTTTTATTTTTATACTAAAATAAAGATGTTAATCTATATTTTTAATATATATTCTTTTAGAATTTTCTATTCACTTGTAAACATAAAAAATATTTTTTATAATTAAAATTTCAATTTTTTCAATTTTAATTATAAAAAAATTTTTTTCATGTTTACAAGTGAACAAAAAATTTTAGAAGAATATATAAACTACTATCTTTATTTTAGTATAAAAATAAAAAATATTTATTAATAAAATATCAAATTTTTAATATAAAGTAATAATGTCAATTTTACTATATTTTACTAATTTTATTAATAAAATATAATAAAAATTAAAATTTTTATCTTATATAAAAGTTTTTAATTTTATTAATAAATATTATAACTAATACAAAAATTTAGCTATTACTAAAATTGATTAATAAAATAAAATTAAAGAATAAAAATTAATTAACTAGTAGAATATAATAATTTTAGTATTAACCAAATTTTATTATTAGTTATTACAATATTTTAATTATAAAATATTTTTGTAATAATTTTACAATTAGAATAACTTTATTAAAAAAATCTAAAAAATCCAAAAAAATATATATAACTTATGATCTTTATTTTGATAAAAAAATAAAAATATTAATAAAATTAAAAACTTATATAAAATAAAAATTTTATATTTTATTAATAAAATTGCATATGTAATAATATAATTTTATTAGTTATTATATATAATATATTATTAATATTTAATTTTTATTAAATATATATATACTAAATATTTAATAAATAATTATTTTTTTTATAATAATATATATATATTTCAATATTAATAAGTTCTAAAAATATTTTGATTAATAATAATAATTATATTATTAAAAAATATTTAAAATATAAAATTATTAAATTATTTAATATTATTATCATTTTACCTTTCATCATCTTTTCAATATACATTTAATCTTAAAAGTATAGTAATATTTTTTCTATTATTTTATTTTTCTTTTTTATATCTTATAATTTTCTTTTATTATTATCTAATAGCAATAATTAATATTTTTATCCAATTATTTTTCATTTTTATCATATCATTTCTATTTTTAATTTCATCATTATTTATCTAACCAATTAATTTTACATTAATTTATATTTTATATCTTATTGATACTTTATTTTAATCTTTTGTTATATTAATTTAATTAGCAACACATAAATTTTACACAAATCTCTTTTTAATATTACATAATAATTATCATTATTATGATCCAGAATTATTCCTAATTCCTTAAATTCTTAATTTTGATCATGTGACTAAATATAGATTATAGAGATAGTAGAGATAACAGAGTTCTTAGACATATTAACATTATCTGCTATATCATATTTATTTAATATGTATAACATATTTCATATTGTAATAACTTAGTCATAAATTATTTTATATAAATAAAGAATCTTTTGAATAAACCAAAAGACATCAATTGATTAATA